TTTGTGCCACGAGCGTCGTGAGCGGAAAATATGTGTCTGTAATTCCTTTACGAGTTTTCGTAGAAGAAAATTCTTAAACTGTACCATCTTATTCTTCTTTAAATGTAAAATAATAAAATAATACAGTAAAAATAATAAAGTAGTTAATGTCGAATGCAATTTTTAGTACACCCTTTTTTGCATAAGTGAAAATAATCGTAATTTTTATAGATTTTGAAAGATCTAATAAAATCGTCTGACGTTTTTGTGAAAAATATCTGACAACGCCCACTACTTAAACGTTATTATCCGCAACTTATTAATTATCGAGCGGTACCATCGCTACGCGACTGAATTCGTTAACTGACTCCGCGACCTGATTAAATATTTGGAAGGAGAGACAACGCGTGACGTAAGTGGAAGCTCACAATCGACGTCAGCCGGAACGCCCTCGGAATCCGCAATGCGCGGACGCTCGTTCGCGATGATTTACCGAGCCATCGTTGTTACCTTCCACGAAGACCACGAATCGTCCAAACATCGGGATTTTCAATTCCGTCTTACGTAACGCGTCAATTTGTCAATCGTGATTGGAATCAGAGTTGTGGGATAGGACGCTTGGAGACATTCGTGAAGTTTTTAATGCATAACAATTCGAGGTCACGAAATTCGAGGGACAAAATCGATCGACTCTTTATGATAATTAGGAGGTAAATGAGGTAATAAACTTGTAACCATAATATGACAACTTAATGGAGTTTTATATTGAGATTTCTGAGAACATTTATCTGAAAAATGCTAATTTAAATTGGATATATTTTCTGCTTCATGTATCTTTTTTTACATAATATTATTAATAGTCTGTGATAAAGTTACATGATAAAGACTTTATCAACACGATATTGGTATTTTGCTAAATATATCTCGTCTACTTTTAAATCTTTTTAATTATGTATGTTCTACATGATACGACAATTTCTCCGTAAAACTTGCAGCTATGCAGCCATGTGCAACGTATGTTACAACTACTGTACGGATGTTATATTCTTCTCGCCGTGAACATATTTGCGTTCGGCACGACGTAATGTTCTGTGCGATTATTTAACACCTCGACGAGATACAACGAGTAAAAAAATTCGCGTCGTCTTACATCATCGAGAAAATTCCGCTCGCGACAGACGCGAGCGGCCGCGCCGCGTACGCTTGTTAATTTATCGAGCGGTCCATATAAATCGTCCGTTTTGAAAAAGTGTCACCGACACTCGTGGCAGCAAAACGCGGCGTTCTGGCCACGTGTCCGCTTTCCAGCGGTCCGTGACCAAGAATTTCACACGACGTGTTGTATTACACGTTGCAAACGCGAGCGGTAAATAACTTTTCATCGCTGTGTCAAAAACATGCTGCTGAACGTAGACGCACGAATAACATACGTAGCATACGCGATACTTCTAAACGTTTACCGAGAAATCTTCAAGAGTAATACGTTAACTGGAAGTATGAGATAACTCGATTTGGCACATAACGATGTCTCTGGCCAGTCAAAATTTTGTATGGTTGTTAACATTCTACGAAGCAATTCGACATGGTCGATAATGCTTTTCTTTGAATATAAACGATCTTGCTCATCAGAATTCCTAAAAGGGATTAAAACGCGTATAAAATGACACACATGGTTTCCCAACTGTCCGAACAATTTGTCTGACATGTAAATGTTGAATTTCAACAGTCGTAACTGATTGTAAATACGGACATGTACATGATGCTTGGATCTGGGTCGATCTTGGGAACCAGTAAAACATGTTCTTGGAGTTAGATTGGATCTCCCATAGACATCCTGTATATTTAAGGTGTGATCCGACTCGGCGATAAGGGAGAGTGATCGATAGCGTGGCCGGTTTAATGTCCGTTGCAGAGAAAATTCCGATCTTCGAACTATCAAGAAGCGATTCAAAATGAAGCCGACCGAGGAAATTATTGATAAAGATGATGATAAATAAATGTGATTACCGAAGTACAGGTGCCCAAGTGGTTTGCACGTTTATTAGAAATCAAGTAAAATCATCAAAGGTTGAAAAATTATCTGCAAGAATGCAAAGTCAAATCTTTTCTCAAAACGAATTATAAGTAATCCATACGCGTGGGAAAAAAATATAAAAATAAAAAGCACGATGAGTTAAAGGCAGCAGGGAAAGATTTCTCAGCTTCCAAGAGAAACGTAGCTATCTGTAGAAAATCTAGAAGAGGTAGCACTTCTCGCGCGCTGCTCGCTTCCCCGCGATAAACATAACTAATTGTCAGAGCACGTTTGGACAATTCCTCATCGAGACGCACAAAAATAACAATGAGATGGAACACCTTCCGTGCCACCGCGCTGCCAGGTCAAGAAACAAACGGAACACCCTCGGCGTCGTAAATCGCGGTCTCGATGACTCGATAAGCGCGTGCGCGCGCGCATAAAAGCGTCGATAAACTGCCGATCTCGGCGATCGGCGATCATCGATACCCCCGGCTAATGATCACTTCCGGCGGGGAATATCGGCGCGCGGCGCTCTCATTGATAAATGATTACGTCAGTGACGTCGCGCGGTGCAGTGGGTGGCCTGCACCTCGTGAACGCCCAAGGACACGCGTGTTCGCGTGTTGTATCGGCGCGGCGCGAGATTTGCGACCGCGATACCACCGGAGACCGGCCGCGATCAATATGAAGCGAAAGCCGCTGCACACACCACACGGCGCGTCGTTCTGCGACACCACGCCGGCGGATCGATCGATCTGCCCGGCTTATCGGCTGATTCGATCGATAACGCGCGCAGAAGAAGAGAAAGGAAGTCACGGGTATCGCGATCGGTCCATCGATCGCGGGCGTGTACCTACACAGCGGGACAATAAATCGTCAGCGACGCCGACGGGGACGTCACTTTGACGGTGTTGAGGAATTGAATCGGTCAGTGGTAGAGAAGCACTCGTGTACGCTACCAGATGGTTCTCCAATTTCTTACGTTATAGCCAGTATCATACATGTAAAAATAACTCGTGTTTTGACACACATAAAGATTCTATTTGTGCCATCATTGTTTAAAATTGGTTACGATTTCCAATTATTTCATAATTAATACGCGGTACAAAATATTTGTCTTATATATCTGGTTTAAAATTTCAATAAAATTTGAAATTAGAATATAATTGGAGTATAATTGACAGCATACTTATCTGTTCTTGAACTATACAAATCTAAATTTTATTTTAAGGCTTAAAGATTTCATTGATCATCGCATTTAAAAAGTTCAAGATAAAAGTAATGCGTTCTTTTGATATGCTTTTTTTTCTAATATTTCAGAATAGTTTTCCTTCATATGACGAATATATGCGATTTAATTTAGAGTCGGATTTAATTTAAACAATTAGAGATCTTCTGAAGTATGATTACAGAATTCTTTATTTCTTAATTAAGCTATAAAACACGAAACGCGCGCGCAATTTGTAATCATTTGGTGGAAATTAAGTAAGACTGCGCAATAATCGTAATGATCGTAATGATCGTAAATACCGAGACGTATCGTGAGCATAAATCGTTGCGTAATTTTCCTTGCAGGAACAATTTTATTTTATTATTCGACGATAAAGAAACGCGAATCTTGCACGCTTGCACTTCTTCCTTTCAGTTGAACTCGGCGTTTCGAAAGTTTTCGCCCGAGATAGAGGAAAAGAAGTCGCGCGCATCTCTCTTTCTCGTATTTCTGTCGGAGAGGTGAAACGAGCTCATTTCATAATAAGGGACGCTCCTTTAATGTTGAAGAATTGAGGACTTTAATGTGCGCAATTATCTCTGCTTTCTAATTCGAGCGCTTGCGAGACGCCTGTGAAAATGAAAATCCCTTTCTCTGTTGGTTGTCAAGTGAATAACCCGCCCTTTCTGGGATTTATGACTTTACGAGACTTTCGAATGCCGAGTGTCAAGCGTACGAATGAAGAAATTAAGCACTTGTGAGAGGTAGAACTTGTGAAATTGATGATTTCTTCACAAATTGGTACAGATTCTAGAGATTATTTTATTACGCAAATTTTCATAAAAATGTATCTATTTAACTGAAGAAAAAACTAATAGTAAGAAATTACGACTTTAAAGTTTCGTGTTACGTGGGTAAATCGGCGATCGTTATGTTCACAACGTGCGAATCGGCCAACAAAATCGCGACGCGCGACCTTTCCTTCATTACGCCGCGAGCAGGAACGACTTTCTCGTGAGGAAAAGCAAGGTTTCCCGAGCTGGTAATTGATCTTACACGAGCGACTCCGCGTTTTTGTTCAGCGTGACTCAGCGAACGACTGCCGCTAAAAGCGACTCGAAAGACGAAGTCGAGCGGTTTTACCTGGCTCTCCGCGGCCTTGTTAACCAAACGATGGACGTCCACTGGAACCCATCTTGGCACGACTTCCGAGAATTTCGTTTCGCTCCTACTAATTATCGGAGGCGTTTTATATTCTCTCCCCTTTCGGTTCGGCGATATTTTTCTCCGCAAAACAATGCAATGGACAAAGCATATCGAGTCTTTATTTCGGCGGAGTTTAGTGTTTCAAAGAAAAAAGAAATTAGTCGATGTACTTTTACTATGTTTGTGGTTTATGATTGAATCCAAAAATACATCATCCATGTTATTTCTTCGAGTTAAAAAGTTTATCTGACGAAATATTGAAGTGTGATATTAAAATTTCTGAATATATACTTGACTGTCGAAAATTTAGAAAACGCTAAATATGTGTACTATAAGAAGAATGTTATATATCGATACACCAAGAAAAGAAAAAAATATACTCTCTGCTCTATACCTTTATTAGAAATACCTTTATTAGAAAAACTAAAAAATTCTAATTCAACATTTTAGTGTCATAAATATTAAAAAAATATATATTTTAAAGAAATAATAAAATTTATATTTTTCTCTTTCTGTAATATATAATATATAAAATGTTGTATTATATATACATATATTACAAGTTTGCAATTATTTTTTTGCTTTTAGGTTCGCGATATCGTAGAAGAGTGCACATGTCCTACACAGTTCCCGATGATCCATGTGGCTGAGGGCAAGTATCGAATCGGCGACACCAAGGTTACGATCTACGTCCGGGTTTTGCGTAGTCACGTAATGGTGCGTGTCGGCGGTGGATGGGATACCCTCAGCCACTATTTGGAGAAGCACGATCCATGCCGATGCAGAAACTGTAAGTATCGCACCTGTTTTATCAATCCCTTCGCATGCTAAACGAGTCGCGTTATAATGAATCTAATCAATTTTTTTATTTTTTTAGCACATCGCTCGATGGTTTCGGCGAAGCTCATTCAAAAAGCCGGTGGATCCTTCGATCTAGGCAATGCGCAGGTGCATTACGAACGGTAAGTACCCTCCTCTTTTATAACAATTTTAATTACACATTTATTTTTGGTCATATTTTATCTTGCGTGAATTGTTTTTGAGGCTAATTTAAAAGGACTAAACAACATAATTTTCATCATTTCGAAATTAGTACTTTTTATCTGACATTTAATGCCTTGTACGATCAGGATTATCATTATCTATCGATACGCCTATCCCTACATTTTGAGTGTAAATACCATCCAGTTTGTAAATGCGATGCGTTAGCTACGCTGCCTGAACTATGGACATTCTATCGCAAGTCACTGTATAGGGTAATAAAATATATGGATGCATAAACACGCGTGCATACATTATAGCTTACAGTACCGTCCAGAAGAGCGTTAGATTTACATGAAAGAGAAATAGCCTTTTGTGAAAGCAGTAGACTATACCGCGTAGTGTGTTACATCTCCTCTATAACGTTTACGAGAAACAAGGCCGAGGTAAATTTACTAACGTTGGCGATTTTTCCTATAAATCTTCCCGATCTTATCTCGATTTCGCGAACTTACGGCCGATACTGTACACGTCGTGACATTTCGTCGCCATCGCGGAAACTGAAAATTCCCCGATGCACACCCGGCCGGCACGACCCGGGTAACGACCGACATCAATTCCGCCGTAACGCCCCGGTCATTGTTTCCGCCACCAGATCATCACCTCCGAGAACCCGACGGAGTTCCGCGTCGAGCGTCGGTTCGGTGCAAAATCTACAATCGGCGCAGCTGCACGCACCACCCAGAAGCATTTCCAGCAATCGCTCGCGATCGCCCACACCTCACCGGCCGACAGCCGGCAGCAAGCAACAGCATCAGCAGCAATCGTGCGACGAGCAGAAGAAACGCTCGAGAAGTCCCACGCCACATAGGAAATTGCTGGCCAGCCCGAATCAGCAAACCGACTTGGCGAAGCAGAGATCAAGGTCGCCGACGCCTAGGGCGAATCTGAGATCGCGAAGCCCGACACCGCGGAAGAATACAGATTCGTCCAGAAGAAATGCCAACGAGGAGGCACGGTCGCCGACGTATCATGGAAAACTGCAGGAAAATGGTCGAGTAAGTTCGTTTTTCTCTACGAGAAAAATATATTTTTAGGGAAATCCAATATAGTTTTTAGAACAGAGAATTTTAAATTTTGATGTACTTCAGAGACTGAATTTTTTTGAAGAAAAAGTGGAATTACTTTCGATTATATTCTTTTCGAATCTCGCGAAACTTTATGAAAATTTTTATGTGCTGCTCATAATTTTTTAATAATAAATACATTAAGGAGAAAATTGGAACGGGAATTGTTTGCGCTGTTTAGGAGAGCGGTCTTAAGGTGCCGGGCGAGTTTACGAAACGATACGTCGTGGAGGGCGGCGTGGCACGCCGAGCCGTTGAGAAGGACGACACGCCAAAGTACGAACCGTCCATCTACAACTATAAGTGCAGCGAAGATTCGAGCGGCAGCCGCAGCCCGACGCCGAGCAAGGAAGAACAGCCAGCACTCGAGACTTTCGGCAAGGACACCACGGCGAACACCCAGAAGTCGCCGCACGGTGACGGAGAGCACTCGGACAATTGCAGCGAGGTGTCCGACGAGGGTTACCGTAGTCTCGGTGCCGTTCAGTCGTCCACCGCCAACGGGAATTCCGCCAGCACGCAGGGCTCGCCCACGGTTGCCGATTGTCAAAGTAAGTGGATGCTGTATACAATATATTCTTGATATCGCGTCCCCCGCGCGGGATTTAAATCAGAAATCGCTGCTCCGTATTTCGCAACAGCGAAAGTAAAACATTCGTCCTTTTATGTACATATATGCCGAGACACGGCACCATCTTATCCGATGATAAAATTGATCGTTTCTGTTCGAGGAGATTGATAAGGTCTCGCGACGTTCGTTTTCGCTGTCGAGTGAATACGGTGATCAGGCTCGAGTGCATGCCCGACGCGCGTTTGGACGTGCACTCGCCATCGTCGGCGAGCGAGTCATCGAAATTAATAAGAGTGTAAAGGGACAAGAAGAAGAGAAATAAAGAGAGAAAGAGAGGTGGAGAGCGGGGAGAGGAAGGGAAACAGAGAGAGAGAGAGAGAGAGAGAGAGAGAGAGAGAGAGAGAGAGAGAGAGAGAAGGGAAAGAGGGCGATGTAGATGCATGCCCCGCGCTTGACGAACAAACGCGCATTGTGCGGTGAACGATGGAGGCAATGTCGCGTGTTGGGGTGAGGGACGAAAAAAAAACTCGACCGATGCGAATCGAGAGATTAAATTCGATTAGGCGGCGGAGGAGCGAGGAGGTGCTTTGTGCGCGAAAATAGAGAGAACGAGATCGCGCGCGCGCGCGCGTGCGCTCACGAGCGGAATTTAATACTTTGCCGCGCGCGCGACGTTTATCTCCGCCTGTCGATCTTGCAGGTATATCGACAACGACGAATTAATTCGTCTGTTGAGGCGGTGCTTTACGCGACCGTAGATAGAGGTGATAAATTTTCTCTGTCAAGAAGGGGGAAAAAAATAACGTACAGAGAAAGTTGATTTGTATGGAGGGAAAAAAAAAACGATCGTGATACACATTGAAAATAAAATCTTGGCAATCGATCGATCGTTTACGTTTCTTCTTTAAATTGTGTTGTTTCTAATATGGTAATGTCGGACAGTAGAGGAAAGATTTGTTTATACGAATTCCTTGTTTCTTCAATTAACTTATCTTTCTCATAACCTTTTGCTAAAGCCATTTATAAATATAATGATGCGTCTATTTAAGGAAAGTCCTTAGAGTTTTCGTCAGTAATGGCAGCTCGATTTATACACAATCTCATGGTTTATTAATGGTATATTTTCTCATGATCTAAAACAATTTGTTAATGTCTTGTTAAACTAAGAAATAACAGTCGATAACGAGCAGAAATTGTAAAGATCCGAGAGTCCCGTTGGTTCATACGTATGTTTTAAACGAGCCGGTAAAAGCTATCTTATGAGCCCGCGTGATGAAAGTCTAGTTTGCATCTCTAGCTCGATCGAACTGTCGCATAAATCCCACGCGATTTACATACAATGTGCACAAATTATTGAGAATTTATACGAATCTACGCACACGTATACGCCGCGCGTATACGTTTTGCTATTTGAACGTCTCGCATTAATTACGTGCCGTTGACGTGGGATCGGGCGGGCCTTTATCGATTCATCGAGACCGTCCTGTCAGTCGTGAACGTGACAAAGACCTCGCACACGATCGATTCGATAGTAGCTCGCGATCGTGTCTCGCGTATATGTTCGAGAACACACGCGAGGACACGCAGTCCCGCGAATTACCTCGGACTCTCTGCAAATCGTTCCGCGGGTACCTGACCCGACATTTGGACCACCCTGCTGACGATTAATATTCAAAGTACACGGGCACGCAGAGCGCGTTATAAAACCGTGCTCCGCCTGGGCCGGGCTGACATTTAGTCGGTGCTACGACCGTCGATTATGCGAGGGATCGCTCGAAACGTGGGCGATCTCCAACAACCTGTCCTCGGAACAATCGCCGCCGGTCGATCCTCGATAACACTCTCGTACGCTATCGCCTTGAACACACGCGAGCGTTCGAGTATCGTGTGTACTCGAGGCACTCGACTCACTTGACGCAGTTGACGCATTGCCGCAAGTGGAAAAAGTTCGCGGCGGCCAGCCGCGGCACGACGCGACCCGCTTCGATCGTCCCGAATGCTTTTCCTCGTAGCAAGTTGAACGGACTGGAACGACTATAACTTAACCCGGTGACCTGGACACAGAAAGTGACGCGAAAACAACAACTTTTTAAAGTAAAATTTATTCAAGTTTGGTTCAAAACATGGCGATGCATAACAGGATGTTTGTCTCTGACTAAACTTGGAATTGTGTGTTTGTAACCGGTTAAATGCGTTTCTAAATTTCTTTAAAAATTTTATAAAATACATTTATATAGTTACTCTGACTTATTATTATAATTATTTTCTATCTTCTTTAAAAAAATGTCTGATTTTATTATTTCTGAACTCGACCATATCTTCTTTTATTGGTTATCGCATTTAAAGATTGTTATCTAAATATTCTCATACACAATCGATGGAAAAAAGTTATTTGTCTAGATAAGGCACAAACGATATTTAACTTTAATATATATAGAATTACATAATGAGATGTATCTTATTATTCTTTTCGAGCAAATTGAATTTATCAGAATAATTGCAGAAAAATCATACCACATCTGATTACAAGAGTCATTATGTAACTTTAAATGTTCTTACCAAAACATTTACATATTTTCTCTCATTTTATATTTATCTGCTCTTCAGATGCTCTCATCTATTTAAATCTTTTTACGTATTATCTTTAATGTATTTATTCTTTTGTCTTTAGAAATAGATAATTATTTGCAGAATCTAATAATTTATTTTCGTTAAAACTAATCCGCTGTCGTCCTGTCCTTCATCGTTCGCCGTCAAGATGAACTTTCGCGTTATATTTTGTGAGAAATGAAAGAACGATCCGGAGGCGTTCTAAGCAACAAATGTCCGGTTAAAATTTTTTTAAATTAAGGGATATACATAAATATGCTTTAGCTCTCACTGTCCTGCTTCATCCATATCAAACATCCATCTCGTTATTTCTATTTTTCTTATTATTTTTAGATTAGATCGTATCTTAATTCCACTTTTTCTCAAATGTTTATTGCGCTATCACTCGAAAACACGTGTATATGGATATATATATGATGTGTAAATGTATGTAAATGCCCGCAGTGTAGGTACTCAGAGCTCAGGTCCGTGGGTTCGCTAAGCCCAAATGACTGTGCGGATCAGTCATCCCTGCGGGATTTTATTAAGATTTACGCGAAGCCGCCAGAGGCGACCTCCGGCGATTCCTTCATTTACATCGATATCTCTAATTTATGCGACGACGCTAGAGCACGCGTACATTTCAAAAACATGCATCGAGGCACTTGACTTGTTTTAACGGCAATGAGATATGCACGCGATGTGCTCTCTGATGCGCGTCAGCACGTTCGCGATACCGAGCGTTTCGCTTCGGTTTCGAAGGAGATCTGCGTTCACTCGGGCGAGAGAGAACTTCTCCTTGGCATCGAGAGTAAAAACAAAATCGACAAGCAGGCGAGACAACCGTGAAAGTATATTAAGAGCTACGAATCTTTTTCGGACGTTCAAAGGATTAAATTGATTGTTGGAAGGCTGTCTTCTGAGAGGAAAATTTACAATTATTACCCTCCTGTTATCTTAATCGCGTGCTATATATTTTGAATATCGTAAATCATTGTCTTATTAACAGGTCAGAATATAAAAAAATTAAAAAAAGATTGGAAGTTTATACAAAAAACGATCTCATAATTTTAAAGAATGCTCATTTGTCACGTCGTGCATAAAGTATTGTCGAGAATGGGATCTGGTAACGATGTGCAATTTTTTAAAGCAGCAAAAAGAATGTCACGATTTCACTGAATTCGTGTTCCAACATTAGCGTGTCGTCGTCATCTGACAATACTCAACGTAACACAGTAATTTATACTTGGCGATAGTTCGTACATGAGACAAAAATACAAGGCGGCTAATTGCTCTCGTTATGTTTTGTTTTGCCAGTAAAATCACTTATTCTTATATTATGATTAATATTTTAGATGTGAAACTGATGTTTTCTGACTAGCCTGCTAGTGGAATTTTTCGTAGATGAAAGATAAGCTCGCTCTTAGAATTGAATCTCTTTTGTGAAAATAAAATTGTAGATCTAATGATATAGATGAAAGATTTAGAGGCTACGTTAAAGAAATCTATAATTTTCTCGTTATAAACCATAAATCTCGTAAATTATGCACGTACTTTTCTTATTATATGCTATAAACATCTTATACGATATCAAACGGATACCGTGATATCGAACCTAATATTAACTGCGTTTATAGCAAGAACGTCAACGCAGGTTTCTTCAACAAATTCACTTCGTAATTCATTTGCGTAATTTTAATAACAAGTTCCAAGGACTCGTTAGATCGATGAAGGTTGAATCCGGTTTGACCAGCAGCGTGTTACTAGGACGAGATCTCGAAATAGATTTTCGATTCTCGGATTTTAATTACAAGTTACGTGCGTGCGAAACGTATATCCACACTGTAGCTCAACAATCTCTAACCGGACGCGTTAATATTTATGCGAACGTCGGTTTGCCGACCGGATTAAAAAACGCAATGCGTTATCGAGAATTTGATCGACTCTTCTAAACTAACGAAGATTAAATTCAACGTGATCGGCGAACCGTATTTCGAGATGTCGTTCCTTTCTTTCAGAGTTAGCGAAGGAGATTTTATGATGATCGTTTTCCCATTTATACGTTTGTTCAGAACGAATCGACCTTTCGAATGGCCATTCTGCCATTTTCACGTGACATCGATACATGAATTAAAAAATCTAATTTCTCCTCTTCGGCGAAGAATGGACTTTCTCTGTGGTTTAGACGTGGGTGCGTACAAAATGTGCGAAAATGAAATGTGGGACGAAATGCAATATGTGGTGACATCACTTCATGAGAAACAACACGATAGTCAATTCTAATTTCATATGGCAACATGCCAAGATATAACTTCCAAGTTCAATATTTTATGTGAGGAATATGCATTTCTTATAATTATAAATGGTGCAAATTCTGTGGGAAAATTTGCAGTGTAATTTTGTTTATCATCATATTTCTCTTTCAGTGGTAGATAAAAATTGTTTATGGAGCTTGACAATAGGAACTTTACATGCCTGAACAAAATTGATGAGCTCAACATTAATAATAGTTATTATATAATGTAACATAAATTATGTAAAGTCAGCGGAACATAACGGTGACATCTATATAAAATTTTACGTAACGAGTTACATAAACATTGTATAGAAAAAACCCTTGTATTACATAAAGCAGTAGAAAATTTATGGACCACCATTCCTGGAAGTCCCGATGAAGGATTTAATTTGTCTTGAATTTTATACTTATTTTCGTCGCACGTGTATCTCGATGCAAATCGAGAGGATCAACACTCTCAATTATGTCAGGACCTGTTTCTTGCTTATGATAAATGTATGCTGAACGAAGAGATTGATTAATTTGGTCATTTATATTGCTAAATCACACGAGTTCGTGAAAATTAACACCTCCCGATAATAAAAAAAAATTAGGCCTAGTCCCGAATATCAATTGTTGTGCGCGTGCTTGTCGAAAATGTCGCTACAATGATACGCTAATAGGTTGCTACACGGAAACGATGAGATTGAAATGCTAATTACAAAATTGTATAACATTTTACTTATGTAATTCGTGATTTTTAGTTTTTTTAATGATGGGAACAGAGACATTTTTTAGAGCTGTTGCGGTTAATTAATGAATTTTACGAACTAATTAATTTATTAAATCATTATCTATCATCTATGCTGATAATATCAGCTTTGAAGATTGTGTCATGTGAGAATAATGAAAACGTTAAAGTTAACTTTTCAGAGAAGAAAAAGAATTGATTCCGTTTTTTACCTACATTTATAGCAGTACTTACTAAAATTATTAATTATGTGATTTTGCTTGGTGTACATTTATATTAAATTATATATTTTTTCTATTTTTTAATTACTGGAGATAAAATTATTTAGTATTTGATTTGTCTTTCATGAACGTTTTAATATTATTCTTGATCTGTTCTAAGATCATTTGAGTCTTACAATCAATGTCGAAATAGCAAAATAGCTAATTAATTATGGATTAAGGATTTCCTGCGTAAACACGTGTCTTCCCTTTTTCTGTTTCCAGAGCAACCTCCAAAGGCGGAACCCGAGGAAAGATCTGGCGTGGAGACCGACAGCATCGAGACTGGATTGCGCAAGGTAGTCCGGAAAGACAGGCTAGTGAGTCCCTTACGGGTCTCATCCCCGTCCAGGAGCGTGACATCCTCGTCGACAGGCGACAGGACTCCCCGCGCCGGTTCTATCGCGCGAGAAAACAGTAACTTATCTAAAGCGTCCTCCGGCAGCAAAACGCCTAAGGACAGCAATTCCAGCCCGGAAGGTAGCCCATTGAACCGAGGAGGCTCGATTCGCAGCAAGGCCAACGGAAGCTACGGGACGCTACGAAAGTTAACGCCGACTGGAAGTCTCAGCAAAGTGTCGTCACCGATAACCACACCCAAGTCCTCTAAAGCGCCAGTCGGTAGTAGTGCCACATGGAACGGCCGACAGACCAGGCGGCGAGCCAGCATCCAAACGGACACCTTCTTGGATCCGAGATCTACGCCGGTCACATGCGCCACGACGCCGAGCTTCTCGCGAAAAAGTCCGGGTAGACAGAGCCTGCAATCCCGGCCAAGCCCGAACTTCGGTGTTCAATATGACAGAAATGGAAGGAGAATCAGGACCGCTACAGGCACCGCTTCCCTTCAGTCGTCGCCCACTAAGGCGACGAATCCGTTACTCGATCAAATCTTACAGAAACTGGGCGACTTGAAGGACGAGCGTCAGATGGTGCAGAAGCTGCAGGGCCTCCTGAGGGACTACCAGACCAGTTCGACCGACGGTGTCGCGGATATGGATTTTGCCAAAGTGTGGGTGGATAGTAACGGTGCGATGACAGTGCCCCAGGACGTTCAGGTATCGGTAAGTCCTAGAAAGGATCCGAAACCCCAGGAAGGATGCTCAAGAATACCGGTACCTCGTGCTCTCTCCTATAAGAGACCGATGTCCGTGGCGTCGGACAGCGTTTGAGGGTGGTTCTGCCCTTTCGACCATGAAGATTGAGATACACCAGGTAGCCTTCGCGTGTTAGGCTAAGTTAGACTGTTCAAGTAGATGCTAACGTCAATGAGAGCAACCAGGCACGCGCGTAGTAATTACGTTTCTTATCAAGCCGTGCTTGATTCTTGATTCAATTTGATAGTTGAGGTCGGACGTCTTGATCACAATAAGGATAGGAATATATTTTATAGCTGGACAATTTAATAAAAAAGTATTTAAAAGATTCAAAGATTTATATAGCTTACCTACAGATTTGTAGAAATGACGAGTAAGAAAAAATCGAGTATGATGATGAAGACTGAATTTCATTGGCATGATCATTTTTGGTCTTCGGTCAGTATTAAAGATAAAACATTAAAATGATAATTTTAAATTACTTCAATTAACACTTTACTTTTTCTTGCTTTTAATATTGAAAGAAAATGTTTTTAAATATATTATCTTCCAGAAAAGTAAAAATGCTTTTGTATATAAAAAATTAGACTACAAGATTACAAATTAATTACTTTTGTTTTGACAAGTAAAATTCCATGAAGTTTTGATTCAAGGACTTGAAATTTAAATTTATTAAAATCAGGTGTTTCCAAAAATTAAAAATCTAAATTTCCACAAGTTTCGGTATTCTGCAGTTTAAATCTCGAAAAATTTTAATAACATTGCCTGTCGTTTAAATGTTTGTGTTTTACGCTCGAATTATCGTCACGGCAAATAGTTCGATGTTTAGAATGTTGCTTTCTATTTTTTTGCTCTTCGTCTACCTTCAACGACTATCATCGCAGATCGAAGACGTCCGACCGGAGAGAAACTTAACGGGCCTTAACGGTACGGGGTCAATCAGTTAGTAGTCCTTAGTAGTCACGTATCAGGGTGGTGCTTAGATGGTGCTGAAGAATGAAACGATGTTTACGATAGACATTGAAAAAGAGATAGACAGAGACAAAGGGAGGGTGGAATGAGTCGAAAATTCGTCCCGTGAACGAGTTTTTAGTTGATCAATGCAATCAAAAGTAGGCAATTGGCTATGGCGAGTCTTGCGTTAATTGACTTTCCAATTGATTCACTTCCAGTCATTTAATTGCATCCCATATGCTATTGATTATTGGCCTTACAACAATAATCCTTAGATTAGCACGTCATATTTTTTAAAAACAGAAATTGCATTGTTAAGCAATTATCGTTGAGAATATATACCGAAAATCCTGATCATTTTTTCTCTACAATATTTTACCTAATGAATCAAAGTGTGATACTTTAAGGATTAATACGATCGATTGACGATACCGATCTCCAAGATCACGCAATCGGAAAATTTAAACAATCGTCGAAGGAGCGTGGCAATTGTACGCTCAATTGTTTTTACCGTTCCCGATAACGCCTAATCATTTTTATTTAAACAATTATATAGTTTATCGGATATATTTATCAAAGATGATTTATTATACGTTAACGATCTCGCTGAAGAAGAGGAAAAAAATGGAAGAGAACGAGAAAGATGAGAAGGAATTGATTAAAGACATTGAAGATCGAATAAGAAATCCCTTGAATGGAAAATCAAATGTACCCTCCTTCCCCTCCCCATCCGCTCAATCTGGAGCAGACTGCATTATGTAGATAGCGACGTGTGTCGTCGAACGAATGCCATTCCAGTGTTTAACTGTTTTTTATACCAAACGCAAGCGTAGCGCCAAGTTTTTTACCAAGTGTCTTAGTAACGGATTAAGGTGGAGAGAAAAAGGTTTATTTTATCGACGAATAACACGGAAGAGGGATATTTTTTAGTATCACAGTGTGTGTGTAGTAGAGGTCATGTACGACGGCTGCGAGTATTTCGGACGATGATATATTGTCCGTCTTTTCTCCGTTTGTTTCCGCCGCCGGAGCTTTTAGGAAAATCTTCTTTAATTGTCTGCTAAATGTACGTTTTACGGTCTATCACTATAATATAGGAAACACGCGAGAATCGAGGCGAATATCCCGATACAGCGCGGATTATTCGCGACAGACTCGAGCCGTCTTGCCTTATTCGGAATTCGAGCGATTTCCTATGTACGTCTTACGCGTATAAATGACGTGTATAGTGTTTTATATATACGCGCGCACGTATATACGCAAACTAACATTGCCTGTAAATAATCTCTGCAAACAATTTTCTGTGAACAAATCTTTTGCCCGGCTTATAATTATTAAATTGATCTCTAGTCTGTAGACGGCCATTGTGTGTACCACTTAGCTCGCTTCGAAAGGGCTTACGATGATGTCCAGTGAATGTACACACGTACACGTAACGGATGGTTGGGGAAATAGTCCAGTCAAAATACGGAAAAAAGGGGGGGTACCTAGAAAAAATTGCAACACAAGGTTTTATTACGTCATTGGGTTCAGAAAAATATACTGAACAATATATTCAAATTCCGCCATTTTCCGCTATCCCTAAGTATGTTTTTTATTAACAATTTATAAACAAATTCGTTTTTCTCCACAAATACGATAAATTTTGAAATTTGTGTAGAGATTAAAGTTGTAGAGCAGACAAATATCTACAAAAAATGTTCTTATGAATTTTTTGAAATATCTCATATTATTTGAGATATTTGCAACAAGAGCTACTAGGCTACGCGCGGAGCGGAGCGGAGAGTTCTAACAAGCACACGGCAGTCTCTATCGCTCGCTGCTAGTTCTCTAGGTTCTACAAGGAACTTGAGTTGGTTCTTGATACTAGTATATGTGTCTATGTATACACACACATATATATGGGACAATCCACGTCACTTTTACCCCCCCCCCTTCTGTCCAAAATTGTGCCAGACTAGAGTCAAGCTCAACAGGGTCTTCTTTCCCCGCTAATTTTTCCAAGTCCGTTCCCTTGGCAGTGGTTTCGCTAGATAGTAGATAAGGACAGTGGGAGTCTCGTTAATCCATTCATGCGCGTCACTAATTAGATGACGAGGCATTTGGCTATTTGCATCACGTCCTTTTGGCGCGTCTTACCGCTTCGGGGCAGTGCGGTTCCTGATAATAACGGGTCCCGGCTCGAGCGACCCTGCAGGTTGACTATGAATCGCTCATCTGCGCAACGGGTTACCCAATAACAAGGATACGAGATCCAGCATAACTTTCGTTCTTTATTATCACCTATCTTATAGTAACTGGCCTATCTAGCACTCTTGGCAAGTCCTCCCGCAGGAGGGAAACCCATCTGACTGATCTGCCGCGGGATTCCTGCGTACGGGCTGGAAAAATTATTTATTCTGAATTCCTGTCGTACGGTTTCCTGCGATATCCACTACTGGTCGATGGTTCTGAGGAATCATAACCTCTGTTTTTCTCTTGCTTGGACATCTTTACGATTTAATGGCTTGCGATTCCTCCTTGTAATTTCCAGCCACGGGCTCGGATCCGATTATTTTTCGATGCTCCGGGCGATATAAAATTTCCACGACCGGCCGGGTCGGCTCGTGCGACACGTTTGTCTTGCAATAAGAGAGTCATAGTTACTCCCGCCGTTTACCCGCGCTTGCTTGAATTTCTTCACGTTGACATTCAGAGCACTGGGCAGAAATCACATTGCGTCAACACCCGCGAGGGCCATCGCAAATTTCATAGTTATGGCTGCTTAAAGGGATAAATTCAAAATTTCAGATTCAACATAACGCCATGTTGAATTGCGCATATATGCCACACACCTTTTGAAAGCTCTTTTCAAGACGAACATTTTCCGCTCATAGTCATTAAAATCCGTCCATACCAATTTTGGACAGAGGGGGGGTAAAATTGACGTGGATTGTCCCATATATGTGTGTATATATATATATATATATGTGTGTGTGTGTGTGTGTTTATACATAGACACATATACTAGTATCAAGAACCAACTCAAGTTCCTTGTAGAACCTAGAAAACTAGCAGCGACCGGTAGAGACTGCCGTGTGCTTGTTAGAACTCTCCGCTCCGCTCCGCGCGTAGCCTAGTAGCTCTTGTTGCAAATATCTCAAATAATATGAGATATTTCAAAAAATTCATAAGAACATTTTTTGTAGATATTTGTCTGCTCTACAACTTTAATCTCTACACAAATTTCAAAATTCATCGTATTTGTTTATAAATTGTTAATAAAAAACATACTTAGGGATAGCGGAAAATAGCGGAATTTGAATATGTTGTTCAGTATATTTTTCTGAACACAATGACGTAATAAACGTTGTGTTGCAACCTTGTGTTGCAATTTTTTCTAGGTCTAATCGTATTTTGACTGGACTAAAACACGGCTTACCTGCGACTGGAGTTATTCGGTGCTGCGCGGACAAGGCGTTCCGTTCCATCTTATGTAAATATAACGAATGCGTTTGTTAGAAGCATATCTTCGTTTTCTAAGTGTAGAATATATTCTGCTAAGTTAAGTTGACTTAACCCTTCGATAATCATCGTCGCGATTAACACGAGTTATTTGTTGCATCTCGTTAGTTTACGAAAAAAAGAACGAAATAATACGTATTTTTATATTTGAACTTCTCGATACGTAGAACGCTAGCGTAGTATGCGGAGAAATTCTTTGGAAGCTATATTAAGTAAATCAAAAGTCGCGCTTAAATAATAATGCAAGTATGTCGATGTTATGTGGCGTGCGCATATCCCATGATAATTCTTCGCATTTTCACGGAGAATTGAGTATCCGTCATTGAAGGGTTAAGTATATGCGAAATGCTGACTATTACCGAACACTATTCTCAGCGAAAATCAGAGGTAACCGAGCACTGGAGAGATTCATATTGCATGCATGCGAGTAAACGTAAGATATCTGCGTTGATTTTGTCCAGAAAGAAAGTCATACTTTTCTCAAACCATCTTTCTTAAAGCATCAATCCTTTAAGTTTCAATTTAATTGATGTTATCATCTGCGTATTTTTCAATTCTGAGATAGAACAAGAAATAAGCATATGGAACAACAAATCTGCATATGAAAAAACAAATAAGGAACTATATTTGGCTATATATTGGAAACAACTAGATTTGTTCACATATTGAGGAATCGCACGATGGAGCAATGCAGCGTCGCAGTGAAATCTCGAGTACTCGCGCATCAATATTCGATAACCCGGTCGATCCGAGACGACCATTCAAGACAGTCCCTGCGTTTTCGCGAAAATTGCGCTTGGCCGAGTTTCGCTTTTCTTAAGAGTCATAGCACCGTAAGAGCATACCAGAATGATCTGGTAATAAGAGAAATATTACTCGTTTCCTCGTTACAGCGCGCAGTAACTTAAGCGCCGGACGGCTAATCCTTAGTCTTAAGCTTTTGTAACCCCAGCGATTTCACGGCCGTGCGTCAACGATTAAGCAATATCGATGATTATCCCAATATTAATATTATTATTGCAGCTATCGCTAATGATGACGACGATTACTATTAGTATTATCATTATGATTATTGTCATCAAGAGGATAACGAAGATTAATTGCTATTATTATTATATGCAACGTTGCCTATGTTACATTATTTTATCTACGAACAGTTGTAAATTGACCAAAAACTATATAAAAAGATTAATAAAAGGCCTTAACAAAAACCCCACACAATCGTTGTCCATTTTAATTTTCTTTCCTTTTACATTGATTTTATCTTTTAGTCGATCTACACCGCTGCCATAACAGAAGACTGGACATAATAAGCTCAATGAAATATCGTTACTAAATCATATTTTCCTGGCGCAAGTTCTGTCTCTATTGCAATTTACTTATGTTTTTCGGGAAATAATATATAATGATTAATAACATTATAAAATAGGATTTTTCTAAATATTTACTTGCAAGGAACCGAGAGAAATCATACAAAATTCAGTCGTATTTTCCGGGTTTTTTTCCGCAATAAGGCGAGAGAGTATGCGGAGCCCGTTATGAGGTCCAGTACCACACGGACGGGCGGCCTTGCCGCATATGGCGAGACGGCTCTCCTCGAGAGTACCAACAATGGTGTATACGAGAGCAGTGTATGTGTGCCTGTATGTGTGTGCATTAGTATGCACACACGCCTCCCCTCGAGTCCGAGTGCGCGCGAATCTCGGAAGGAGCCATTTTTGAAACGTCCAGCCGTCGTGCGAGAGATTTACGATCGACCGTAGTAGTCTCGATAATAACAGCGACGATTGGGTCGGAGTTTATAGGTATTAGCATAAAAGCCGCGAGAGCGCTCGTATGTATTATTTTCTCTGGTCAACGAGAGTTCTTCTTTTCGTCAATTCCAAGTGATTTTGATCACTCCAAAGAGAATTGTCTCGGCTTGAAATAAACGAGAAAAATCACCAATGAATTTTTGTCTAAAAATTTAAATAAAATGTACCGGTGACCAGAATATTTAAAGATAAACAATTTTAAGTCACAATAGTTGTAATAGTATATATGTCCGCAAAAGTATTACGTATTAGGGAATTATTACACCACGGCTTATTATAATCATTAAAATATTTGCTAACTGCACAATGATAAATCTTTAAATCATTTTGTATGTTATTTCCATGCATGCAATAGTTTTATAATTTGCCGTCATACATAAGTCTTATTAATACTAATTGGCGATCATGTTACATTATTAATCGGGGATCGTTAAACGTTGGCGTCGCGTATAAAAATCATATTTAAATTCACGTTTCACTTTTTACTTTAAGAGAAAAGGTATTTAGATTACATGAGCGGGTGCGTGCCGTAGAATATTTACTTTTGGTAATATACGTGATTTTTTAACATCAGGAATTCAATTGCGAACTTTGCGTCGGAGCATAACAATTTTATGGCGAATTTTATATCAACCATAAATATTACGTAACAAATAG